ATTATATATTATTGATACTCTAAGTAGATTCAAATAGATCGTTGATATGTTTAATAATTAACTAGTTAGCAATACATCATTAAGGCGATCATTCATACTAATATACATTACATATACAATAATATGTATACAATAATAAATAAAAATATGTACATAATGAATTGGTTTTATTGAAACATATGATTTCACTTATTGATATAAATGGTAAAAATTAATTACTAATAATCAATTAATTAATTAAAAATTATTTTTTAAAAATCTGTATCGTTTTTTACTAATGTGACGATTTATTAATGTATTTTAAAATGTAATTATATATGCATCGAACAAATTTCTACATCTAACATGAATTTGCATAATAATTTGTATTCTAATTATTAGATTATCACATCGATTGAAAGTCTGAAAAAGTATAAAAATTGAAAATTGAAAAAAGCTAAACAGACATAAATATTCTTTTGTATTTCAGGAACAAGACGAGATTCAGACAGAAATGGAAGATTCTCCATCTTCAGAGGTACCAAGTAGGCTACATTCTTCTTCAGTGAGAAAAACTGTGCGTAAACGGAAACGAGAATGCGAAGGCAAAAAGAGTCAATCAATTGAACTTCATAAAATATCGAACGATGTAACGTCTAATACACTTAATCGAGAAGATATTTTTGATATTACTGGGAAAAAGATTGCTTGTGATCTTAGAGAATTAAACGAACAACAAAGAATAATAGCAGAGAAACTTATTAATGACGTTATATATTATGCAAAACTAGGTAAATTGAACGAAGATTATTTAATAAGTTCTATGCAAATATGATCTATGTAGCAAATTTTATAGATGTTACATTTTAGAAGACAAATTTCTATCATATATTTCATGTAATGCATATATCTATATATAATTTATAATCCTCAAGTGATATCGTGGTCACAGATAATTTTGTTATATTATAAAAATTTAATTTTATTTTATATTTTACATTCTCTTTAACATTAGTAATAAAATTAAAATAAATTAAAAATTTTAAAATTAAGTAATATAATACATTTTTATGGTTTCCTATCT